TTTAAACCTTAAAATGAGAAGCTGCACACCTTGAAGTCTTTTAGTTTTATTGGGATCAGATTAGTTAACTAAACTCTGGATCCAACCTTTTCCACATTGATGAAGATTTAAACATTTCAAGATATTTCTCCATCTGCAACTTCTGCAAAGATCACATTCAACAACAGCCTCAAAATGAAATCTAAGTTTATTTGGAGTGAAATACACTAAACTGTAAATCTACATGTATTCTCTCCAGACTTTCTGCCTCTTCTGAAACACAAAGATGGCTGCAGCTCTGACTCTCCTCCTCATTGGCTGTCTGCTGCAAGGTGAGATGCTCACTTATATTTGTCAAAGAAATTAGCGACTAATGTGTTCTGCTTTCTTTTATTGATATCATAATGTAGAGATTTGGTGTTAAATTTACAACTTTCATGTAAAAAAGCTGTGTGAAAATGATGAATCCTGAGTTTTATGTGAAGACTATTTTATCTTTGAAAGCATACTGATAAGATTTTTAGAAACAGAGCCAACAATAAAATGTATCATGACTTTATTTATTTATTTGTTTGTTTATTTAACAGAGACACGTGCAATGAACATTGCTTCACATGAATACAAAGTAGATAACATGCAGTCAGGTTTCTAGCCACGGCTCATTTGAAACCTCTATCCCTGTCAATGATTTTAGTAATATAGTCATTATAAACTCAATATGAATAAGGATTGTATTGTAAATGTATAATTGTAATAAGGATTTGTTTCTTGTGTTTCAGGTGACCTGTGTGGACAGTTTGAGATCATTATACCACAGACTATAGAGGTTCTGAAGGGATCCTGTGTGACAATCCCCTGCTCCTTTGATGTAGATGATCAATATAATGTAAACTTAGATAACACTTGTAAAGCATTATGGAAAGATTATTATGGGGGACCTGTTGTGTTTGATAGCAGTAATCCACAACACAAACAAAAGGGACAATTGATCGGTGACCTAACAAAAAAAGACTGCACCACAACCCTGAATGACATGCAACCTCAAAACAACAAAGTGCATAATTTTAGATTGGAATGTGACAATAATCTGAAATACTTTTTTGCTGGCGTGAAAATTTCAGTCACAGGTAGGTTTCAAATTAAACTTATTTACAGTTCAGTCATGTAGTAGTTCTCTGACCTTGTCGTTGATTACTTTAAAATAAAGATAAATCAAACCTTTGATAGTAGAGAGAAATGACTGCTTATACATGTTTATGTATCTTCTGAACAGATGATCCACCCAGACCGACTCTGACTCCGCCCACACTGAAGGTGAAAGAGGGAACCTCAGTGAGTTTGAACTGCTCTGCTCCAGCTCCCTGTCTGTCTCTTCCTCCAAATCTGACATGGAGCCCCGGCCTGGGTGAAGGTCAGGAGACCCTGCAGGAGAATCAGGACAAAACTAAAGTCAAGATCTCTGTGCTGAACTTCAACGCATCACACCTCCATCACAGACAGGAAATCTCCTGTACTGCTGTCTACAGAAAACAAGATGGCAGCACTGAGTCATCTGTGAACACCAGTTTAACAGCTGACATTACATGTGAGTATGTGTGTCTTGTGATTAAATTGATTACATAAAATACATGCTTCTTCTTCGTTGTTTGTTGTTTTGTAATCATTTAGCAAACAGTTACGTCACCTGGGGTGTGCATACTGCCATGTGTGATTACCTTTTTTTCTCTCCACTCAGATGTTTGATTGTAGATGTATTCATTGTATGAACAGGGTTTGTTGTTTAGCCTCTACATAAATGATCTAATAAATGAATGCTATTAGGTCAGACATCCTAATGTACGCTGATGATACTATCATTTTTGAACATGCAACAACAAACCAGCAAGCTGCACGTAAGCTAACAGCAGTGATGACTAATGTCACACAGTGGTTTAATAACTCCTGTCAATACTTAAACATAAAGAAAACAATCTGCATGTTTTTCACAAAGAGGTCAACAGATCATTTCACACTCAGTGTTTTCATCACAGGGTTAAAGGTCACAGTTGTATCTGATTATAAATGAACGTAACACTGGACTTTAATCTCCCATTTCAAAAACAAAGTAAGATGGTGACAACCATAGTAAAGTTCATATTTACATATTTCTACCAACTGTTTATCCGCTGAGGAAGCAACACTGTACTGTAGGTCTACATTGTTATTAGAGGTGGGAATCACCAGAGGCCCTTCGATACGATATTATAACGATGCTTGAGTCACGATACGATATTATTGCGATTTTAAACATTTTGCGACAGGCTGAGAATTGTGATATAATATATTGAATTTCATTTTTTAACTGCATATTATGTACACAAAATTAAACTAAATCAAGAAGTGTTTTGTCAAATAAGAAAAAAATGTCAGTCTTTTCGTCTCACTTCTGTCTGTTCGAGTCGAGCCCACAGACGAGCCCACAGACTGACCAACACTGTGATGAAAGTAAAAGGCTGCAAGCACCTCACAATCTGAACTGATGGTGTTTCAGTCTGATCAAACTTTACTGAACACAAACATGTACGGATGACTGAACAACTGCAGTCATTTTTAACAAAGCAACTTGCTCAAAATGAATTGTGCAACCCCTCAGCAATTAAAAATAAAAACATATCGCTAGCAGAATATTGTGATTCTATGCTGTATCTATTTTCCCCCACCTCTAATTGGTATGCTGTCTCATGTAAGCCTACGTCTCCTGCTTTGATGTCCTGCTTTTAGGTATCTTGTTTGTTTTACCAGGAGAACAGGATTACTGTCCTGTTTTAATGCACATCTCTCTTTTAAGTGTTTCATATGCTTCTAGATTTACAATTTTGTTGTCCCACTTTAGTCTGTTTTACATATTGCTGCTGTCTATGATGGCTAAACTTGTGCCTTACAGAAATGTTATGAATGTGCATTGTTTTTATAACTTTACATTTTATTGATAAAAATGAATAAAAATGAATGCACTGAACGGTGAAGACCAAACCGTGATGGCTCTGCATGAGTACACATACTGTTATAGTCCTACTCAGTGTTGGGCTCGTTATTGAAAAAAAAGGAATATATTACTCATTACCCTTTAAGTACTTTAATTACTTTACTTATTACTCCCTGCCATCAGTAATATGTTACATTACTTGTTATATTACTTTTCGTAATAAGCCACAACTTTCATTAGTTCTTTTTCGCTTTTAGCTGTGCTCGATTAAAATCCAGTCTTGGTTGATTTGTAGACATTGTAGGGCTACAGCTGTCCTCCACAGCTCATTGGTGGGGTTTATTTACACGAGCTTCATGTTGTTGTGTTGTCGTCAGATGTTGTAAGTGCTTAAGGAGTTTTGAAGTCCTGTTTTTTGCAGTATAAAGAGTCCTGGTACTGGGACACAATTTACATATTACAATGATGTTCTTGTTATCTTTCTTGTCGACAAAACTTAAGTAATGGGAATATTTCCAGCCGCTGAATGTAAACTTCCATCTTTCAAGCTAGCCAGGGTTGCCAGGTATGTGTGACAACAAATGACAAAACAAGCCCAATGGCCAAAAAAGAACTACCCTCTGGGGCACCTAAAAAAAAGCCCAAATCCGTATATCTGGCAACCATGAAGCTCGCTACCTTCCTGCTTGTCTGAGATGCGCAACAAAATTAATCTGGGGTTTGTTTCATAAATCTGAAGTGGGGTAATAACAACAACAGTAAGATAGTCACGAGTTATTTTTTGTGTGGGTAACTGTAATATTATTACTGGAATTTCATTAGTAATTCGTTAAACTTCTCGTTACTTGTAAAAGTAATATCATTACTGTAACGCGTTACTAGTGATACGTTACAGACCAACACTGGTCCTACTAGCTGTTTCTATTGATGTTTAGCAGGGCTTGTTCAGGATAAAGGCATAACATTCTCTATCCCTCATCACAAATAAACTACATATTCAAAAAATACAACTTTATTTTTTCTCTTTTCAGATTCACCCAAAGGGACCACAGTGTCAGTCAGTCCCTCTGGTCCAGTGCAAGAAGACACAAATGTGACACTGACTTGCAGTGCTAATGCAAACCCAGCTGTAAAGAACTACACCTGGTACAGAGCTGATGGAGGCCAGGAGACTTTCATGGGGACTGGACGTGTTTTAAACATCAAAGCTTCTAGAAAGAGAGCCCCAATTTTCTGCAAGGCTGAAAATGAATTGGGAACTGGGCAATCATACATAAGACAAATAGATGTACATTGTAGGTGTCATTCATCAGTTACATTTTTCAAAATGTATGAAAATCTCTTTGTTTATCTTTAATTTCCTTTGATTGGAAACTTCATATCCATAAGAACATTTTTAGAGGATTACCTTTGTTGTATGCGGCCTCAAGAATGTTATGACGATGAGTGCTGAAAACACTGAACTACATTGGTTTTGTATTGAAAATAGGCGCTGCCAGCGTTAAAAGCGCCCTCTGTGGACACAGGCCCAGAATGAAAACTGATTGACATGGAGGAACTAGAATTTTTCTTTGCCTCATTCACTTGGACACTCACAGCTGGTCAACTTTTATTTTTTATTTTTATAGCCATAAGCCTTCTCTTTTACTTTTGCAAATTTGATACAGCATGGCTTTACTTGACTCTCTACTTGTCTCTCTTCCCTACATCCATTACAGATGCTCCACAGATCATGTCCTCATCTGATTGCACCAAAACTGCTAACCAGGTCAACTGTTCCTGTGAGTCTACGGGAAATCCTCCTCCCACTTTACAATGGAGTTTGGATGGGTTAGCTGTCAATCACTCAGAAGAGTTTGCAATCAGTTATGAGCATCGAAATGGTACAGGCGTGAGCTTCATCACCATGAGTCACGCCCAAAGGAAGGATCACTTCACTGTGCTTTGTCGCAGCTCAAACTCTCTGGGATCTGTTGCTCAACGATTTATTTTCTACAGCCTTCCAACATCTGCAGAAAGTCAAGGTTTGTCTCTGAGCTGAGTATAACTTTTATTGGTAAGCGGCACATTTCACAATTTGTTCTCATAATTACTGAGTATTAACAAGAAAGCTTTATGAATGGGTAAGTAGTGAAGAAAACGTCCTCTGGAGAGCTTAAATATGTGAAAAATTAATTATTATTACATTATGTCTGAATTTACTAAAATAATAATCTTGTTTGAAGTGGAGCTTCAACCATAATCCCATATTGTCCTTTGTATGTTTCAGTGATTTTGCCAGTCTTCATCGCCACCATTGTCGTCTTCCTGGTGCTAGTATGTGCTCTACTCTTTGTTATCAGGTAGGGTAACAGCAAATCAAACCAAACCGTACAGAATACCACTATGCAAAATATTTAAAAACCTCCTACTGGGATTTTTAGTTTCTTTATTTGAGTGAAGATACAGATTCTATATGGTGCTCCTCTGGTCGTCAATTTAAAATCTTTGACATTTTAAGTATTTTTTTGGATTATGAGCAGACCAAGTCTTATCCAGGATATTTTTATTTTTCAATTGAGGCCCACAATTTCAGTCAAATGTTGTGGATCGAAAATGTTGCCAATGTATTTGTGTTATTTATAGTGTCCTCTGCTCTGTGTCTGTTTGTGAGACATAAACATGAATATGCAGCTTTATGATACGCCAAAAGGACTGGAGAAATGTCCGACCTGTGATTTAACGATGTACCACTGATCTCTTTTTCTATTTTGCTCACGGCAACTTTGGGATTAAATATGATTGAAGGTATAGTGGTTTCTTCGGTCTTCTTAGTAAATCTTATGTTCTTAAACTGAGTTCTTTCTTAACCACTCTATAGTGACGACATTACACTGTTTTACGCGTTGAGTTGGCTTCACACATTTTCCCATGTGTCCACGGTAAAACTACCGTGTTGCTCCGCCGTCACTCGTTTATTTTACTTAGACAGCGTAACACAGAACAATACATTTTACTTCCTGTCTCCTGATCACATGACTACTGAAGTCTTACAGAATCACAACAAACCTTCAAAATAAAATAGGAATAATCTCAGTAAATATTCCCAAAATAAACACAAACATATCGTCTGCTATGCTCTAGCAAATCATAATCCAAACAATAATAATCAAATTTATTAATGCAAAAATGACGCTTACAGAAGGTCTGTAGGTATTTAAAGCTTTTGGTACTATCTAGGGCCCGACTGATATGGGATTTTTGGATCCAATACCGATATAAGGGAGAAAAGAAATCTGATACCGATATATATCGGCCAATCTATCTTTGATCTTTAAAGATACATAGATATACACACATTTTTTGCGTGGATCCTTCAAACACAGCTTTCAAACACTTTTGGAAAAGATATATAATGAAGACAATCATTTTTTTTTTACTTGGAAGTTAAAAAATATAAAAATAAGAAACTATATAAAACTAAATATCAAATTTAAGTTGAAAGTATCAAATAAAACATGCTCCTTTCCTTTGTGAAGTAGTCCTGCACCTTACTTCTTCCACCCTCAGCAACCTGAAAAATAAAAACATTAAAAACAATAAAATTACGTATTTCTCTGGCTTTGATAACTGTTGAAAATATTAGACATAATGCAATTACTCAACAATAAAATATATAAAACATGGGTTTAGTCAATATTTAATTCATATACATATTTTAATGTGAACATTAGCAACCACATTCTACCTTATATCTTTAAACAAAAACATGTGAGAATTACAACAAAATGTTGTGATTCTTTGATATTAATTATTATAATTTTCTTTACTTATACAAGTTCAACTTCAGTGGAATCATACAATAGAAAAGAGATAAGAATATCATGAGTAATATTGAAGAAAAATAATATTTTTTTCCCACTATCAAACACTCAGCTGCAACATCCAGGCCATCTGTGTCTACAAATTCCCTTTCTCTATAATCATCAGCTGACAAGCCTCATTCCTTTGTTACCTGGAAAAATCCCGAAAAATCTAGTATATGATTGACTGCTCATATCAACACCTTGCTGAACTGCACAGGCTGCTGCTGAGCTGGTCTGTGTTAGAACCCAGAGCTGCTGAATAAACACTAAACACTCTGAAAAAGACGCTGGGTTCAGTCAAGTACCCACAAGTTACTGATTTTTCTCTCCCTTTATTGGGAGTAGCCTTGCATTAAGATAAACGGACTAACGTAGTATGCGAGATAATTCAACACACTTTAGTGTCAAACCACCACAACTCTGCTTTCTCCTGAGCTGCAGCTGTTATATAGCAGTGATTCCCCTTAACTTCCCATTTGTTCAGCTGCAGCAGAGGGACAGTACACAGCCAATAGCTGGCTAATTATTAGCTCCTCAAAGTATTTACAAAGGTCTGTTATATAAGCATGAGCAACAAATGGGTACAGTTATATAAGAATTATGTTGAACAAGGGAATGACATAGTAAGTGTGTATTAACTCCATTAACCAGAAATGTTTTGTACAAACTTACCATCACCACGCGACTCCTCCGCTCTGCTCATCTCATCTGTGATCCTTCCTGTAGTGGGTAGTAGCCTAGTAGTACAGCTGACATATCCCATCATGCTTTGTTGGACTTCATACTTTGTTAGATTTTTAACACACTTTTCATGTTTCAGAATATAATCAATCAATTCAAAATGTTACTGGAATTCATTTTATTGTTGTGTGTCCTGTACAGTGACTGTTGTACATGCACACATAACAATGTTGTTTCTGAAATGCTGCCTGCCACCAACGAGAGCTAGAGCTCCAGTTAAAGACTAATTCTCCACTACCTAGATGTAAATCAGCATAGTAGACAAATGGCATCTCATAGCACAGAGAGGTTTGACTGTATTTTGAAAATTGAATAAAAGTTGTATGTAGGCTATCTTGTGTTAAAGTGGCGTATCTTGACAAAAGTGTAAAAAGCACAGGCATGTGGAAGTTAAAAGGCTATATGTAACTTTTTACATGTATAAATCGTTTTTTATCACCCATTAATAAGTGAACGGTTAACTGATGTGAAAAAGTAGATGTTCACTGTCTATCTGTGTTGCCCGTATAAAAAGTTTCCCCGGGTCGCATTTTCCGCGAAAACTCCAGGAAGTGACATTTTATGCACGTTCTCAACATCCTCCTCACTCTGCTCCGCTTACAGAGATCAACAGTACAAACTCATCACACACTCCCGGTCTTCACCTGCACAGCCAGAGGCCGCCTTCCACACACTTCTATCCACCCTAAGAGCTCTCATAGACGGACAAACTCATCACACACTCCTGCTCTCAGCTAGTGCTGGGCGATATATCATGAAGCTCGATTCGATCGATATTTAATTAATGCTTGATATGGAAAAGGGAACATTGATTTTATTTTTTAAACTACTTCAAAGTTTTCTCGCGATATTTCGTTGCTCCGCGAGATTTCTGCAGCAGCGCTTGTTGCGCGGAGACGAAAGGGCGGAGGAGACTCCTTCCCCTGAGTAGCCTAGCTCTTGTAAGCGGCCAACACGGAGGAGAAAGAGAAAGATGCGAACGAGGCCAAATTACTTCCAAAAAAAGGGCACATAACGCAGGGCTCGACATTAGAACTGGCCCGCTGGCCCGGATGAATGATTGACAGAGTCTGGGCCAGCTGATTGCACGTTCAGCTGGCGGCTTCACTGCTGTCACTTCAGCGAGCGCACTAGCTACACTCAAATTGTACACTCGCACACAGATTTTAGCGCAGGTTTTCTCTACTAAAACACACGTTTGGTAAAACGGTTTTAAAATCATCATATCCTAACAAAAGCCGAGATAAAATCAGCATTCAAAGAAAAAAAATCACCAGAAAAGTTGAGTGACAGCAGGGCATGACGAAAACTGAACGGAGAAAAGTTTCAGCCACAGTGGCAGACAGCTGGAGGAGCTGGAACACACTGCAGCTAAATTTCCCCTTAAAGTTAAAGACTAGATCCTGGTAAAGATAAAAGTTATTCACAAAGCATCTTAGCTCTTAAGAGAGCTCCGAAAGTAAAGATCTAAGGATGAAGAGTTTCTCACAGAGAAGAAAGAAGGAGAGAAAGGTGATCAGAAGAATTCCAGCTCTATCACAGTCTCATATTAATATCAGATTAAGTAGACTCTTACAGTTACCAGCATGGTGAATAAACATGAGTACATAGATATTAGAAAAATACAAAATATTTTCTATAATTAGAGCTCAATTAATTAAATAAAAGTTGTAATTGACTTTTGCATCACAATGGTTCAAGAGTAAATTGGTGACTGTTATTCTTCGATCAAAAGTAAAGTTCCTGGGCCAGTGATTACAATGGTCGGGTGATATTTTTTTTCATACATTGGAGATTCAGTTTTATAGGCTACATTTATAAACTTTAATACGATAAATATCGAATCATATCGAATATCGACATTAGGCAAAAAAATATTGTGATATCAAATTTAGGCCATATCGCCCAGCACTACTCTCAGCCGAGACTGTCGTTTGTAGGATGGAGAATGAATACAGACACACAGACTCCTTCACAGACTTTCACATGTGTATGACCACTTACCTCCTCTGTAAACATCATGCTGGTAAATATCCAGTGTTTCGTGGCCGATGATGATGCTCGCAAGGGAGAGCGAGCAACAGGTTACTGGTGCAGTTTGCCTGACGGCCATGCGGTCTCACTACTAACGCAGTGTTTTTGAAAAGTTACATATAGCCCCTTTAACCTGCATGGAGGACCAAAGGCTGGTAGTGCTAGCACTGTGAATGCTAGCCACACTTGGCACAACATTATGATATAATTTTTTCTGCAGACGCTGTGATCCTGTGTTTCGAGAGCTGTGAGACATCTTAAAACAACTCAATTTAGTTTTCTGAATTTTTTTCTCAACTTTAAACTACCAGTGGGAACAACAAAACTGTTTACAGTATATTCTTGTAGGTTTATACTATGCTGTTTTTTTCAGGGCTCAGAGGATTCAACACAACCTGCTTAAGAGTCAGAGGTCAGGTAACGCCAGCACAGTTGCCATGAGCCAACTTCTACCAAGTGGAGAAGGAAACGAGGTACTTTATCTTGGAATCCAGCAGTTTTCTACTTAGTGTGACTTACATAAGCACAACAACCAACCAACATTTTATTTTCAATTGTAGGAACCCAACAAAACAGATGAGGACATTTATGTCAACACCTATGAGCTGAAGAAACCAGGTGTCACCCAACCTGCAACTACCTCTGAGCCAATCAGCACCAACTTACCAAGCTCAAGCAGAAACAACACAGAAGACGCCAGCACAAGTTCAGAGAAGAAAAACGAGGAAAGCAAAGATGTGATTTACACTAGTGTGACTAGGAGGAGCAAAGGGAAGAAGGAGGGAGGAAGCTCTGGGGACACAAATCAGTCAGGTCGCTCCTATCTGGAGGAGAAGCGCTTAGAGGGAGCATTGAATTTTGTGAGCAATGCAGTAGAGATGGTAAATCTATATGACGAAGTGAAGCCTAGAAATGTGAGGAAGGACTCTGAATGTGAATATGCTCGGGTTAAATTTAGAGAAAAGAGTGTGATGCAGACATAGCTTACAGTTCAGTCAGGACCACTTTGTCAAGAAAATGTACTTTATTGCAATTATTTATATTCGGCGGTATGGCTCTGTTTTGGGATCTCCCTGACCTTCCACGTTCTTAAGTTGAATGCGTAAGGCAGGAGCAGCACACATACCTGCCCTTCCTGTGCATACAAGGAAAGCTTTAGGCAGAGATAAGCAGCAAAGCCAAACAGAGCAGACATCAATGACATGCATGACATTGATTGATGCAAGTCATTGCAGCATAAAAGGAGGAGCTGGGGTGGAGGAGGGCTGCAAATGTGGCTCGCAGAGGGAGCAGCAAAGAGTAGGCAGGCTAGAGCAGTTTAAATAAGCGGCATAAGAACTTTTGGCTAATAGAATGCTTTGAAGTAAATCAGCTGGCCATCAGCTGATGAGGCTTGTGTGAGATCAGCTGTTACCGAAACTCTGGCATGATAGTAGAGCGTGACTCCATTCCCTGCCTGAACCTGAAACGAAGAAACATAGTGACTTCAGTTCTCTTGTGCTGGATAGCTGCATTTTTTTTTTTTTTTATAAGTTGTGTCAACGCTGAAGGCATTTCATCCTCAATGAATTTGCAGCAACTACTGCAGACCCATAACCTGCAGGGTGATGAAGAATGACTAGTTGTCCTTGGTCTCAATGCAAAGAATTAACCAAACTGTGAGCACAAAACAGAGGCACATTTTAAATGAAAATCAAGTTAAAGTCGTCAGTCAAGTTCGGTGTGGAAAAAACATCTAAGATTTTATTTGAAGGCCATATCACCCAGCCCTAGTTTCAACTTTTCTTTTGCTTAATTTTTTTTTTTTTTATGGAAAATAAACAAGAAAAAAGAAAATATACATTCAAGAGAGCAAAACAATATCAAAAGTTCTTAAATCAGCAATAGAAATTCAGCGTAGCGTTAGTTCAGGAAGGGAATCAACACAATGCTCTATATGTCAACCAAATCAAGTGAAGCTTTTGAAAGCCCCTTAGCAACATCTTTCAGCTATCTTCAAATTGTGTATCTTTATACCATTGCCAAAACTACCACATAGCATATAACACAAGTGTAACAGGAAATAGAAAAGCAAACTAACATTCTGCCAGGTACAAAGCCTTGTTAAAAAAGTTAGAATTTAGAGTGCCTTAATGTTTATGTTCTTTAAGCTAGTGACAGGTTTTGTTTATTAATGAATAAAATTATTCAAATTTCCACTTTTTTTTAACCAATAATAACAAAACAAAAAGTTAATTCGGGGTCTCAGTTGTTAATTTTGTGTGAACTTAGGAAGAACAGATGTTACTAAGGAAATGACTAATGAGCAGCTTGTGTAAATAAATGAATAAATGTCCCAGTAACAAAGGTTTGACTCGAGTCTGATCTGTTTGATGCAAGTCATCGCTTCTTTTTCACTCTAGATTCCTCTTTCTATCTTTGGCTGTTACTTTACAATATACGCATTTACTGCGCAAAAATAAAAGAGTAACGTATGTGACCATTGATATTTATGATGCACAAAGACTCACAATACTATGGCTCCCAAATATATACTCATTTATTTGCTATAAGTACATGAAATAAAATTGTTTTGAGCCTGACAGGGAATATCTAGAGACTTTTTCGACCCAGCACCTAAATAACTGATGTGCATGTTTGCTGACTTTTTCAGCAAACTTTTTCAGCAAAACTTTTTCATTGATATTTACTCATATACTGATGCCTAAGGCATGTCTTATATGAGAGAGCTCTTAGTTTTTTATGCTATTTGACTAAGTAGCATGGATATTTTATAGCCTCTTTTGTGAACTAAGGGTGCATCGAATTTAAAGTTTCACAGGTCAGATTGTCACAGATCGTTTTGCAGAATGGCCGACGAATCACAATACATCTTCTGCATCTTAACAACATATCATATTCTCATATTTCATCACTTTATCCACATTGCTACCATTTTCATTATGATAATTCAAAGGCAAGTCAAGTTTGCATGTTTAAAAACAGCCTCAACTAACCAATGTGCTTTACTTACAAGGCGTAAAAACAACAGCAGCTTCAAAGAAAGACAATAAAATATATATACACACATGAAGAGGGTTTTACATAAGATGACAGTGGGCCAAGTGTTTTACAGATAAAGCTGGTTGGAGTCAGGGGGGCCAAACAGAACTACCTCATTTTTTGCTCATTTAGTATTAAAACGTTTTGTGCCATCCAGTCTTTCGAGTAGTATTTGCAGGGAGTGGGGGTTATTGCTTTTGAGAGGGATATATATTTACATGTCATCTGCAAACCAGTGGAAGGATAAGCCGTGCTTCCTTATTAGGGAGACCAGTGGCAGCATGAACAGGGAAAAACAAAAAAGAGGTGATAAAACTGAGCCCTGAGGAACCCCACAGGTGAGGGCAGCAGAGGGAGAAAAGCTGTATCCTAGGCATACTTTAAAACTTCTGTTTTCCGAGTATGATTTGAGCATATTTAGCCTGGATCCCAACCCAGTCTTTAAGCCTGGTGAAAATTATTTTGTGGTCAACCGTCTAAAATGCGGCACTGAGATCTCCACTCTAAAAGTATTAAAATTGCATAGTCCCCATTGTCTACTGCTAAAAACAAATCATCAAGAACTTTTAAAAGGGCTGTTCAGTGCTGTGCTTTTCTCTAAAACCTGATTGGAGTGCTTTAAATATTTGATTATTGCTTAAAAATTGATTCATTTGTTTATTGATTACTCTTTCGAGAATTTTGGATAGTAATGGGAGTTTCGAAATGGGTTAAAATTTGATCAAATGTTAGGATCTAGGTTAGGTTTTTTTAAAGAGGCTAAACCACTGCATGTTTAAAATCGGTCTGGAAGCATCTCGTGGAGAGGCAGCTGTTGATGAAGGAGAGGATGCTAATAATTTAAAATGTTTCTTTAAAAAGGCAACGGAGAATACAAGCAGATGTCCATGATGTGGGCTTCAAATGAAGGATTATTTCTTGCAGAGAGGAGAGAGATAATGGATCAAATCGATTAAAGAATTGCACAGCTGACCGAGGGTCTGGCTGTGGTGCAGAGGGTGGTAAAATTTGCTTTTTTATATCAATTGTTTTTTCCACAAAGAATTCTAAAAAATCTCGCAATTTTCTGTGCAAGAGACTGGAGAGGTGTAGTCAGTGAGTCAGGCCCCATCCACACGTATACGATTTTTTTGAAAACGTAGTATTTTCTCTCCCTTTTGGCGACCCGTCCACATGAAAACAATTGAAAACTGAGGTTTTGGTCACTGCAAACAAAGTCTTTGAAAAACGCATTCCAAGGTGGAGATTTTCAAAAAATCACGTTTACTTGTATTCGTGTGAACAGTTAAAACAGTTAAAACGGAGCTTTTTGTAATAGTGACGTAATTATGTCGACTTGCGTGTTGAGCATGCGTCATAACCAAGATGGCGGGCTACCAGTTTGTTTACATCTGTTCTCTGCTGTTAGTCGACATTCTCCTGGCACTTATTCAAGTGTAACTCAAAGCAGCAACTCCACTTCGTCGTCCGTCCAAACGAATGAATCGGCTTTGTGTTTGTTGACTTGTTTCGCCATCTTTCCAAATTGCCGCTGTCAAAAGGACGCTTAATACGCATGCTCGCAATGTTCTTTTACAGTGTTTGATGTGAATGAGACACAGCTATTATCGCCACCTACTGGCCTGGCATGCTTATGGCATGCTTATGTGAGCGTTTTCCATCGTTTTTGCGTTGCCATGTGGACTGAGAGATTTTTTAAAAACTGTTGGTGTGGACGGGATTTTTTTGCAACCGGAGGGGGAGGAAACAGGTTTTTAGAAATATCCGTATGCGTGTGGACGTGGCCTCAGTGAGTTTACGTTTTTATTAACCTTGGGTCTGTTAAAGTTTTGTGTTGTGAGATCGCATAAGTATTTTGTCCTTGCTAAAAAAAGTCCTTTGCTCAATACCAAGACTCTGTCAAAGCAGCAAGTCATAAGAGACTTGGAGTTTACTTTTTTCCATTTTCTTTCTGCCTTTCTACAGATTCAAACAATTAGATAAACCTAAACTCCCCTTTTATTTTTAAAGTACTTTTAAAATCTGATAACATCAGACTGAAATATGAATACTGAAAAGGGTGTGTTGAGGAACTGCATCTTCAGTTTTTGGACTGAACACACCCCTCTGTAACATAGTTTGGCTACGTTTACAGATACAGACTACAGCAGGCTGAAACGTTACCTAGTGAAGCTACTGATTGTTGTCACACACAGCCACCAGCTGATCCCTGCGTGAGAGCAGAGGGGTGGAGGGAACGGAGAAAAGACGAAGCAGTGTTTGAAACAAAGAAACGATACCCAATTAAACAGCAACACTTTACGAGCTCTTTCTGTATGAAAGTCAGCAAAAAAAGTTGTAATGTCCTCCTATTTGTACAGCAGGTACGACTTAAGCCTGGCTCACACTGCAGGATAATCGGATCTCAAATCGGCCTGATTCCTCCTTTCCGATAATCGCGGGATCGCTCCCGACTCAAGACTGATCGGAACCGATTATCTACCGACATTATCTTGTAGTGTGAGTTGTAATAAAGATCCAATCTTAACGTCCCCAATCTGCTCGGTGATCGTCGGGGACTCCCCGATTTATTTCAAACATGTTTGATATTGAAAGGGTCTGGCAGAAGTCGTGTGTGACTACAGAGACGAGGGAGGACAGTAATATGTGTAGTAGTAGTGACCAGCGGCAGGAGGGAACCCGCACAGGACACCTGTATGCATCTGACAGGTACAATCTGACCTCCAGCTCTCACTGAAGATTAAGCAATCCATGTTTTTCGCGTTTCCCAAGAAATTTCTTCTACCAAAACTTTAAAAAACATGTTTTTGTATTTTATTCTCTGTGCAAATCAGTATAATCGCAAATTTAACCGCGGCTCCATTGTTAACGTGAGGCCAGGTGAGGTGGTGCGTTCCTCCGTCGGGCACGATAATCCTAATAAAATCCTGAAGATTGTGATGTGAAAAGATTTCATATCTTGTAGTATGAGCATATTTGAGATTATGGAGAAGAATATCTGTTAGGATTCTCTGTCTGATGCTGCCCGAATTCAAAATTGGGAAGGAGTTTAAAACTCCTGCAGTGTGAGCCAGGCTTTAAATGCTGCCTTCTTTTCACTGAGACTTAGCGGTAGTTGTTACACCATATTCATGCATTTTCCATCTATCTGCAGATCACGTGCACATATATATACAGTATATATATATATATATATATATATATATATATATATATATATATATATATATATATATATATATATATATATATATATATATATATATATATATATATATATATATATATATATATATATATATATATCTTAACTCATTCTGTGAATAAATCATACAGCCATAAAAGATCTAGAACTAGGAAACAACGTCAGTTAGTTCAAACGAACAACTTTAAGCCTATTGGACACACAGGTGCTGCACTACAAGAAGTTTATATAATCAATATCAGAAAAGCTACAAATACTTCAGAATGTTTTCGATTGGTCATCATCCCTAATAATAAAAGGGTTTTTTAAAGATGTTTTTATTCTGAAACATAACCTCACCAAAGGAAACGAGTGTGAGTGACAGCTCTCATAATGTTACTTTGTATGACAAATGGCTGTACAGTAAACTCTGCTTTCAAAAGCAGCTTTCACTGTTGTTCATTTCCTGTTGCATGACACATACTTTTCTTTGACATCAGCCTTACTTCACTGAACAATAAACATTTGTTGTCAACTTTGCTGACCTTTTCACCCTCCCTTCCTCTTCCTCCTCTCCCCCACACAAAGGCTTCTCTGTGCTGCAGCAGGTGAGAAGCTGGAACATCACTGTACCTAAAACAGTGACTGCAGTGGAGGGGAGCTGTGCTGTGGTACCATGTCAGACAAAAGCTCATGTCCAGGTCACCTGGTATCAATACCATAAGATGTATTATCCTGTGGTGTATGACAGATATCCTCCTACAGTGGAACAACAGTTCAGAGGACGCACCTCAGTAAAGGGAGCAGCCACAGAGGGTAGCTGCACCCTGAAGATTAAAACTTTAAGAAGAACAGACAACAACCTTAAAGTCTATGTGTGGATCAATCCAGACTCAATAACAAGTCAGACATTCTTTGATCAAACTGTTACGATCAATGAATAGAGCACTTGACTCTGAAACCTTAAGCAAAAGAAGATGGGGATTGGCTTGGCAACCTTGCAGTTTTACTGCCATGGTTTATGTGGAACACAGTTGCCATTGTTGTTTGTTTATTCTTGCAAATAATATTCCTAATGTTGCTGACTACAACTAAAGGCTACAAAGATGCTGATCCTATAA